CGAACATTAAGCCGTGCCCCTTCTGGACTCCCAGGAGAGATGGGTGAGCATGGATCAAACGGTGGCAAGCCAGCCTTGGCTCCGGCCTCCGCCTCGACCTCGGCAATAGCGCCAGCCATAATCCTTATCTGCTTCTCTCCCATATGAGGCAGCTGCACACCAGCACTTGGAGAATCAATGTCTCCCTCACTCTCAACCCCCGTTTCTAAAAACACTTTAGTCTCCACCAAATAATTTAGCACATCACTTTATTTATTTTTTAAGTGCCTGTTTCTTAATAGCAATTAGGTCATCCTTCCTACACTTTTCCAACTGATCACTACTAGGATGACTAAGAAATGTCTGCAAGTCAAAAAAAGCCATGCCCGCTAAATATATCAACAACACTAAACACACTCCAGTGCACTGCATCAATTCTATCTTGAATCAGAAAGGCTACATTAATACCACACCAGCCTACATATCAGGCATCAACACGGAACCAAACCTCAACATCTCGGGAAAGTTATAAAGATCCCGGACGAGCCCCCACTTAATGTTACGTCCCCTCTTCTTAGTAAGGGGTACGGGGAATAACATTTAACTGTCGGGGTTTGACTTCGGTCCAGTACCAGTGCAAGCAATGAAAACCAAAAGCGCTAAAGGCAAACAAGTGTTTATTTACAATGTTATCGTAGGAAAGCTTATAAACAAAAACAGCTGGCAGTAATATTTACATGAAAATAAACAAAAAGGGAAAAAAAGGAAAACCCCAGGCAACTAGGGAAAAAGAAGGAGGGAATTGGGCGGCAATCAAACAAAATAAATAATAAAAACATAACCCTCTAACTCAATTATCAATTCTAAACTAACTAAAGAAAAAGAAAATAAATTCTTCAGTATCCGAAGATACCCTAATATAAGCTACTCTCACTAGCTCAAACAAAAATAACAGCAGTTGACGCACGACCCTTACCTAGTGTGTTTAACAAACATTCACTGCGGGATGTAAAATGTATATCA